GGGGGGGGGTGTAGGAGTGATAGGGGAAGGGGAGGTTATTATTTGCTCTGAGATGAGCTTTGATAGATAAAATCTTCCATTGGCTGCAAGTGCTCATGACACACAGATTTCTTTTCATAGTCTGTACTGTATTTACCCATCAGCCCAGCTGGACAGAACATGGCGGGTCCCCGGGGCAGTGCACACGTCTCCTCATCAAGGCTGGTGATAACATCTGGTTACCTACATACCCCCCCTTCCCCTGACCCAATAGCCCAATGCAAATCTCACCCGAGGGTCGGACCATTTAGGGACGCCTGGGAGCAGATGCAGAGCAAGGTTCATTATCCCTGACTGAGAAGAGGGAAGGAAGGGGTTAACCGTGTGCACGCTGCTTCGGGCAAATCACGGCAGGCAGGCTGCGGTGCTGCACAGGACGGACAGATGTTTCTTCGTGGTGAGCAGCGACGCATCTCCCTGTGTGTGGCCAGCCATGCAAAGTGATGACATCTGCCTGACTGCTCCCTCCTGGGTCCCTTCCTACTGAAGGAGGAACTAAAGGAACACCTCCAGTGTGCTCTGTGTGCTGTGCACATTGTTCCCGGCATGTTCGAGGGTTGGAAATGTTCTTCATAGATTTACAAGAAATGTATTCAATTTACAGCCACTACCACAATCTGTTCATAATGTGAACAAATGTGAGTACTCCAGGCAGGCAAACAGCAACAGCCGAGTGCTAGGGCTGCGCCCTCCGGTATCTGCCTCCTCCCCTCAATATATACAAGATTTGGGCCGCACCAGACAAGTTAGCAAATGGGCGAGCAGACTAGACAGATGAGGTCACTCAGACACATGCTCCTCCATCAGACATGACTCCACCTCTGACACATTGTGCCCACAATATGGGCGTAGTCATAGTGGTCACGACTAAGTCCATATACCCTGTTGCCCCGAAAATAAGACCTACCCCGAAAATAAGACCTAGTTGTGACCATTGCCAGGGCCGGCAGTGGCATAAGGGGGAACTTGAAGAGCCGCGGGAGAGAATCAGCGGTGCCAACGAAGCCAGCGCTAGAGGAAGCAAGGCGGCACCGGAGGGAGCAGAGCCGTATAAGCCGATGCCTCCTCTATAGCGCCGGCTCCTGTCACAGGCGGAGTGATACCAAATGCACTCCGCCTGTGAGGAATCAATAGTGAAAGCGCGTTTTGCTCATGCTGGCCAGCGATTGGTTAGCAAATTGCTCTTGGAAAGGTACGGCACCCCCTGATTGCCCTGATCACCGTATTTTTGTACATGAATAAGTGCGGATTGTTGTACATAGAAAAAAAAGAAAAAAAGAAATAAGACCTAGTGTGTTTTTTTGAGCCAAAAAAAATATAAAAGACAGTGTCTTATTTTCGGGGAAACACGGTACTAGCAGGTGGAACGCGTCAGTGGCATATCACTGTTAGAAATGGAAAGATGTGTCCGAATATGGAGCCCTATGCTCAATGATAACAACATTTCACTATGACTATGGTCACCGGCCCACCTAGACTCTTCTTACTGGCCACTGAGGCATAATCAATGGACAGGAAATTCAGGCCCCAGGAATAAAGTGCAACTAAATCAGAGAGGAGCACCGAGGAAAAGATACTTTTACTAAAAAACTTGAAATGGAGTAAAAGTTAATTTTAAAGCTGAACTCCAGCCAAACAACTAAATACACAGATGAAATATATATTAGGAGAACTGCGTCACTTGCTTAAAGGAGAGCTATGAGGTGAGTGATTTCCACTCGTCCTCATAGTTAGAGCCGACCTGTCACAAAGAAGCTCTCACAGGTCGGCTCTATAGATAGGGAAGTGAGCAGAAACATGCAGCCGATCCGCTCACTTCCCGATCGTCTCCCTCCAGTGAGCGGTGACTATCGGTAACCACCCCCGCAGGGAATCCCCCCTCCCCGATCCTGCAGCGCTGACTGGCGGAACGGACGGGGGAGGGGCGGGCACAGCTGGCTCTGCCTTTAGATAGGCAGAGCCAGCTGTCACTCACACAGCTGTGTGGATCCAGACAGTAATGTCGGAATCCGTCCCGGCTGCGGCGGTCTCAGTATAAAGCCGACAATAGCCCGCGATATACTGAGCTTTGGCTCATGGGAGGAGGCTAGTATATGTCCTCCTGTGACCCTTAGGAGAACTATGGGGAAAAACACTTATCTCATAGTTCTCTATTAAGGGTTTATATTTCAGTCCATCCAGTCCTGAGATTTACTCCGCTCTACCACACAGCACAGCCCTGTCTGTCCTGGGATAATGGCTTCCTACCTTCCTCCGCGCAAGGTACATGCGCAGCTTAGTGTACATTCTCAACAAACCTCAGTGCCAGGATGAATGAACTCTCATGCATGTGCACGGGCGTTACATCATCCCAGGACAGTCAATTAAGATAGCCAAAGTCCCCAAACCCGGAAAAGGCCAGGGGAAGATGTCAGCGCCAGGGAGTGAGCTTGCAGACATTGCATTGCTGGAGGGAAGGTTAATGAGTATTGGAATGAATGAACCTGGGAAAACCTGCACTCTGACTAACTAAAGAGACTTCCAGGACTGCCAATATGCGGCCGGAATCTACCAGTTGATGTGGATTGTAGGAGAAAAAAAAATTCCAATTCAAGCAAAAAATAATCGCAGAAAGAGAAGAAATATCCATTCTCCTGCGGACACTAAGGAAGACTGAGCAGGTGTAAGGTGGGAGGAGTTAGAGCTTCAAGGGGGCTGGCCTTCAGCTTTCTATGTGCCTAGTGTCCCTCAATGGACGACAAAGACAGAATAATGTTTTTTATTGTAGATTAAAAGAGCCTTCACAGAGCAATAGGTTAAAATAAACGGCACTCGCAAGAGGATCCGTCCATCCACTACTTTATTTGCAAAAAGGCATAACAGCAGCAAAAAAAATGCTTTCATGTTTCAGCCCCCAAACAGGGCCTTAGTCGTGGCTATGACTAAGGCCCAGTTTGGGGGCTGAAACATGTAAGCATTTTGTTTGCTGCTGTTATGCCTTTGTGCAAATAAAGTACTGGACGGACGGATCCTCTTGCGAGTGCCGTTTTTTTAACCGTACCTATTCCGCAGACACATTTCAGGAACACTTGTACTTCCGGTACTTACCAGCAGAGGGCAGTCACAGCCAGGCGTTTGGCTTTATCATACTGAAACCTCCACAGTGGCAGAAGCGTTCCCTCCTGCTCCCTGAACTCATCAGAAACATCCTCAAAGTACTTGAAGTCTGCAGATACAAGAGATTTCATTATTGGAGCAATGTCACTTTCACAGCTTCTGCATAGCCCCACGAACTACAAATCCCAGCATGTCTACCAGTAGGAGAGCATGTGGCACATTGATACACCATGGTGGTCAGGTTTTAGAAGGAAGGTCTTTGTCCCTGGGTCTACATACACATGGGGCGCTCACACCTTATGTGCTTCCATGAGTTGCACCCTTAGGCCTTCAGACTGCATAAGGGGAATGTGTACTGGCATTTGCAAATCTTTTGGATAAGTATTGAGCAGCTCTCTTGATGCCTTTAACACTCTGACTGCAAAGGAAGTGTGCACCATGGCAGTTTAAGGGTTAAAACAAGTTAATGGCTGCAATAGAACTGCAGCCCGTGGTCTTTGATGTAGAAGTGATCTGGTAAAATGGACGGGGGTTCAGGTAATAGCAGCGGCAGAGCTGATGCAGTGTGGTAACACAGGAGTCGAGGGGGCCCAGGGGCACGCTGAAAGGTCTGCGCTGTCTGGGTGATGGCAATTTAATTCCTGAAGCTGAGGGGTAACACAGGAGGCCTGGAGTCCCACAAGGCAGGCTGCAGGCGCTGAGGCCCACAAGGCAGGCACTGAGGCCCACAAGGCAGGCTGCAGGCGCTGAGGCCCACAAGGCAGGTGCTGAGGCCCACAAGGCAGGCTGCAGGCGCTGAGGCCCACAAGGCACAATGGAGGCACAGGGGCGCACAGTGCATGCTGAAGGCACAGGGCCCTTGAGGCTCAGAGACATGCTGGTACAATGAGGCACAGGAGGCATAGAGACACTGGAGTACACAAAAGGGGGAGAAGTATTTGTGGACTCAGGTAGGTGGAAATGCATGGAAGAGGCATGTGAGCCCTGGAGAATGCAGAGACCAAAGAGTCACAGCCTTGTTAACTGTCCCCAAATGAAGATCACGTGCAAAGAGGGTTCCGATCATCATATGATGACACGCATCCACCATCCTGGCCATGGAATACCTGATCAGATCTCTATAGTTCCTGACACCTCTTCCTCATATGGTGACCAACATCTACCATCCTAGTCATAGAATAGCTCAACAGACCTTTATAGTCTCTGACGCCTCCTCCTCATATGGTGACCAACATCTACCATCTTGGCCATGGGATACCCCAGCAGATCTCTATATTCCCTGAGGACTTTTGCTCATATGATGACCTACATCTACCATAGTGGCCACTGGATACCCAAGCAGATAGCTATAGTCCCTGAGGTCTAAACCTCATATGGTGGCCTGCATCTACCTTGGGACACCTGAGCAGGTCTTTACAGCCCCTGAGGCAATCCCCTCCTCATGTGGTGACCTACATCTACCATCCGAACCACGTAATAGCTGATCAGATCTGTACAGTTCCTGACGCCTCTTCCTCATATGGTGACCTGCATCTACCATCCTAGTCATAGGATAGCTCAGCAGACCTCTATAGTCTGCAAGGCCTCCTCCTCATATGGTGACCAACATCTACCATCCTGGCCATGGGATACCGCAGCAGATCTCTATAGTCCCTGAGGCCTTCTGCTCATATGATGATGACCTACATCTACCATCCTGGCCGTAGGATACCAAAGTAGTTTTCTAGAATCCCTAAGACATCCTCTTTATCTATGTATAAGACTACTATAGGCAGATGAGGTGTAAAGTACCTTGTGTGATGTCATCAAATGTGTTCTGGTTCACCATCCTCTCCAAGATCTTACTGGACTTCCTCACCTTGCTGATGTCATCGCTCTGCACCAAAAACAAAAGAAGCCATACAGAGAGGATCGAACTGAATCATTCTTCATATGCTAAGAGGAAACAGCATGAAACTACACATACAGCAGAGCAAAGGACCCCTCAATGAACACTAAAGAGAACCTGTCAGCAGCATATATAAAATTACTCACTGAGTAAAGAGCAGAGTGGTACCCCGGAGATAAGACATTTAACTCATGCATTTAGAACAGCCCCATTCGGGACATATACATTTATATAGAAGTAACAGGTCAGAAACTAAGCATAACATAAGATGCTATGTTATGCTTAGTTACTGACCTGTTACTTCTATATAAATGTTTACTTAGTTGATATATGGTGATCTATGGTCACTTTCCGATACCCCGTGGAGATTGAATTGAATCCTATGGATTAAAGGAGAACTATGAGGGGGGCGCTTTTCACTCACCTCATAGTTCTAGCCGATCTGTGACAATGAAACTGTCACAGGTTGGCTCAGTAGATCGGGAGGTGAGCGAACACATACCATCATTCGCTCACCTCTCGATCCTGTGCTAGCAGGGAGCCGTGACAGGGGAGGGGCTGGATTCCCCCCTCCCATCCTCCAGCGCTGACTGGCAGAACGGACGGGGGAGGGGGCGGGTACAGCTGGCTCTGCCTCTAGATAGGCAGAGTCAGTTGTCAGCCACGCAGCTGGGCGGATCCAAACATAATTGTCGGGATCCGCTTCAGCTGCGGCGTCTTAGTATACCGCGAGCAGCAGCTCCCTATATACTGAGCCTAGGGTGACGGGAGGACGCTAGTTTGTGTCCTCCCGTTACCCTAAGGAGAACTATGGGGAAAAGACTTAACCACATAGTTCTCCTTTCAGTTGTCTCTGAAAACGTTATTAGCAACTATACATGATTAATTATAAAGCACCATATCCCCAACAAATAAGATAATCTCTTTAACAGAACTAAAATACCGTACCTACTACAACATTGTTAGCTACCATTTACCAATAGTAACTTTTTGGACATCTAAGTAATCCTGATTACAAGGATATTTAATAGCCCGGTAACCCCTAATATCAGTTTTTTTTTTTTTGTCTAAATCTTTTTTTTTTTTTTAAACAATGTACCTAATTTTTTTCCTCTTGGGGTGGGCCTTCATGGATTCTTGCACCGGGGCCCCGAGGTCACTAGTTACGCCACTGCCTGCTGCCTCCTTATATCTGTTACAGCAAGACCCCATTCACACAAGAAAAGGCCGTACACGTACATGGGTGCCCCGGCTCGGACGCAGACAGGATAGCATCTAATAATGCTGCACTGACATCCTAAGCAGTGCTGTCAGCCTTGCCCAGTTTTCCCTCACTGGACTACAGAACACCTCCCCCTCTCCTCACCTCTATAACATACATGGACATGAGCGTGTATTGGAAGATGTGTCTGACATTGCAGACATACCGTTTAAGCACTTTAGCAGCAAAATCTCCCTGCATGGCTCCTCTGTTGTTGTCCACCCCCTCCTGTTACATTCTCCATAATATAAAATAAAGAAAAAGCCATCAGGGATGGTGGGAACCCATTATAATGGGCACAGCGAGTGTACAGACCCAAGAGCTCAGCACAGGGTTGGTGGGAGTCCCTCATAATGTGCACAGCGGGTGTACAGACCCGGGAACTCAGCACAGGGATGGTGGGAGCCCATTATAATGGGCACAGCAAGTGTACAGACCCGGGAACTCAGCACAGGGATGGTGGGAGACCCTCATAATGGGCACAGCGGGTGTACAGACCCGGGAACTCAGCACAGGGATGGTGGGAGACCCTCATAATGGGCACAGCGGGTGTACAGACCCGGGAACTCAGTGAAGTGATCTCACCAAATGGGACTGTTAGGGGTTTAACTCTTCAGCATCCACTAAATTCTAATTTGGATCTATTGTCCATTAAATGTTTTGATGACGGGGCTCTGCAGATGTTGTGGCACCTACCTGAGATTCGGCAGTGGCCAGTTTCCTCCTGGAATTTAGTTCTTCCTCCTTCTTGCTCACCGGTGCTTTTTGCTTCTCTTTCATCTGTTTCTGTAGCTCTCCTACATACGCGTCATAAATTTCCCACTGCAAGAGACAGGAGGACATCACACCGCGCTCTTCCCAGTGCCGCCCCCCAATCTAACAGACCCATGACAGACAGTCGGAAGGTTTATGACCTATGGGAATCACGAGCCTTTGATATGAAAGTGAAGCTGAGGGGTATTTTCAGTTATATCATCTTTTATACTTCGTAAGGTCCACCGATAGGTTCTGGCATGTTTTTCTACTATTGTATACAGATTTCTAGATTTTACCTCTAGTTGCTGTCTGCATTTCACTGCAATCCCTTCCTAAGCAACAACTGCTGTCAGTCGTTTAGATATGAGCTATAGATTTGCATTGAGAGGGAAGAACGGTGAAGCTGACTCACTGTGCAGCACTATTAAGCATTAAGAATATGTAATTCCAATATGTGTACATCCAAAATGACTCAATGTGGACTCCCCTCTGAATGATTGCGTTCAGGAGCCCGGACCTCAACCCTACTGACCACCTTTGGGATGTATTAGAACACTGATCACAAGCCGGGTCTTCTCAAGGTCACATGACCTCCATAACCATGAGCACCGGGTATTTCATTGCTCTCCCGTGCAGGAAGGAGCTGCATGGGAGAGCTGTAAGGGCCTGTTCATACGACATCCGTTTTGTGTGCTGACCTGATCCGTACGCTCCTGCACTCAAAATGCATGTATCCAATCCAATGTATCCCTATGTGTTTTATGGGCTGCAGTTCTCACGTGCGCAGTCCGTTCAGGTTATGACAGAAAAATACTGCATGTCACATTTTGTACGGTCAGGAAACGGTTAGGAAACGCAAACGCGTCCAAAACGAGTCAAAAACGCACTGCACTGCAGCTAACATACTAACAGCCCCAGTCCAGCAAAAAAAATACTGCATGTCACATCTTGTACGGTCAGGAAACGCAAACGCGTCCAAAACGCAGTAGCACCGCGTCTGCAGATCCGGACCTGATCAGGACCTGAAACTCATGTAAAGAGACTCTGATTGGACAATGTGATAAGGTCTCTTTACGGAACAATTTACAACACACTCATACAATTATTATGAAGCGGATTTTTGTCATTCTGTATCTATTTTTTATGTTAGCCCTCACTCTGCCAAATCGGACCTAATCCATGGGAAACAAAAAAATCTCCCTGATGACGGGTCCCTGTCCCTGCAAGGTCCCGAAACACCAGCTTCAGCTTCTAATGACATGCTGTGACACTCTTTAATAACAAGATATTGATATCTGAACTTATGTTTGTGTGTCCCCGCGACCTGCTGAGATTATACTGAGTATTGCACGACGCCATCCGTGTGATCACCATAACCACCATTGAAAGGTTGCAGACTGTAAGGAGTGCAGGTGGTTCTTGGAGACAATTCTCCCCATGTAGTGGGGCTACCCCAGACATGCAAGGGTTCACTGCTCAATTATGTCTAGGGGACCTTTGTAAAGAACATTTACTTGCCTGATTATTATTATTACATAGTATTTATATAGCGGCAACAGTTTGCGCAGCGCTTTACCTGATCCCCGCTCCCACTGGCTACAAGACCAGCAACGACCTCTCCCCCCTCAAAAGGCATGCAGGCATCATCATGTCTAATCCTGCAATATATGTGAGGACACTGAGGGACATTTCACAAGCCAGAGTGTAGGGAAGAGAGATGAGTGCCGACCGCCAGGGGGTCCGGGGGGG